TTGTGTATTTTGGAACATACAGTAGCAAGCACTTCTTTTTTTCCTTTTAAATTAGCCTGTATTTTCTCTGACAACATACAGGGATGAACTAAGTTTAAACAAAGGCGTTGCTGAGCTACTGTGGACAGTAAGTCGAGCCAGAACTTAACAGCTTTATATTCATTCTACACAGTGCCACGCTGTGCTATTAATGCTGCACTGTTAACACAGCTCATGTATATATAACTTGGTGAATAAATTTGCTCAAGAACTCGTGTTTGCATGACTAAGAACAACTTTCAGTTGTTCACAATATTTAAGAGAGTGAAAGACTTAAAGCAAGCGCATTTTCTTCACATGTCCTAAAACAATCATTCTCCCTCCCAGACAACCTTTTACAAGTGACTGTGCCTGTGATGAGTGCCATCTTGATTAGATAACCAGTAAAGTGATACGTAGGCGTTCAGCAGCTTTCAAATAGCATTTTGCATTCACTTCACTGGGTAAATGACAGAAAACTGTGTGTAAGAATGCTATTTAATCAGATCAAATTGTATGAAAATTGCAATTTAAATAGTGAAATGCTTTTTGATTATGGCAAAACATTATGCTTTTTAAGTTATTATTGATGCTTTTGATGTTGCTTTATGGAACAGTACAAGCAATAAGCTTTTGCACATAAGCATCTTGTCTAAAGAAAAAAATAGAGGGCAGATGGTTTCTGGTAATAATCTGAATGCTATTTCCTTATTTTCTCTCTTCTAAATTCCTTTTTTTTTTTTTTTTTCATTCTGCTGTTCAAGGAGTTTTTATGGAGCCGCAGAAATAAAACCACAAAGACCTGCCAACAGAAATAAAACCACAAAGACCTGCCACATCAATGTCAAAATTATATCCTAAAGTTCTGCGCTCTAATCACAGTAGCATGAATTCACATCATGTAGTCAGTCTCTTTGAATTTACAGCTGATGGCTGATAATGCAAAATGGAAGTTTCAGAGTGCCAGTGTAAGGAAAACGCTCAGACAGTTGTCCTGAAAGCAGTTACCTTGCTGCACTGTAACAGAACCACAATCTTCTTGCTAGCTACCACAGCTCTCTTAAATGTTTCCCCAAGCACCCATACTCCTAACAAACAGGTGCACCAAACATATAGAAGAGCTACAACTGTAGTTTAAGTTAAAGTTTTGCACAAATTGTACATTTTTAAATCTAGCTTTAGTAAACTGGATCAGAGTTCTACCTAGTTCAGTAACCTGCTTGACAAAAAAGGCTTCAGAAGTTAACTCATGTATTAACCATGAATTAAACAACAATTCTTCTATAATTCTTTTGAACCAATATAAAGATTTGTTTAAAATCTTTGTTAAAATGTTAACTTGATTAATTTAACTAACTCTTACAACTTCTTGTTACCATGAAGTAAATTTACACATGTAATTTGGAATTTTTTTTTTCCTTTTTCATTTCATGCACATTTTCAGGCTTTTTTCACACCCATATTCACTGAAGGAGAAAAGTACAATTTTCCATTTTTATTTTCAATTGCACATCACTTTTAAACTCCAGTGAAGATAGTGCAATATTTCAGTTAGCCCAGTGCAGGTGTGGCTTCAAGGCAGCATGTGATGTGAATTTACACTGATAATTCAGAACAGAAAAGATTTTGTGGCTGCCACCATGAGGCAACAGCATGTATTGCTATTGTCTGAATAAAGCTGGAACTGAGTAATCAAATTTCCTTATATTCTATACACAACACTTTTGACAAGTCACTGGGTTGTACAGTTATGGATTTTAAAAAGGTGCTTACAAGTTTAAAGCCTTAAAGCATTGTGTATGCTACAGTCCAACACTGAAATGTGTCAGCATTCTTGCAGGCTGCATTATAATAAAACTGAATTGCAACTTTGCATGAAGAGTTAGTTATAAATTAAAAGTATTTCTGAACCCAAGTCTCTGCCTTTAGGACTAAGGAAGGTTATCATACTGCAGTGCCATCTAGCGACAAGATTTCTTAAATGTGGGAAGGCATCCTCCCTCTCCACATGTATTGGGGTTCCCCCACTCCCTGCCATCTGCAGATCAGATACTTACGGCCTACAGGAGCAATCCACTAGAAGGTTGTGATTTTTTCCCCTGCTTAGGTCTATGGCAATCTGGAACTTGCTGAACCTGTTGCACCCTCCTCATCAGCTTTTATTTTTCTTCCTGCAGTAGTCCAAGCAAAGTAAATACATTAAAGTACCATGCTTGTGACTTCTTTACTGCTCCAAGTAACTATCAGAAGCTTTTGTTGTATTTTTCCATTAGTTTTAAAAAGGAGTTTAATGAATATCATTTTTACAAATATTGTAAGTCTTATATTTTAAATTTCCAACATTTTACAGACATATGCTCTCAAAATTTGATAGGTAGTATTAACAGCGTTGTATGAAATAGCAGAACAAAGTTAATCTAACACATGCCCACAAGTTCTCCAAAGTAAAATACATATTGACAAACTTTTTGACATTCTGGAGGAAAGAAATTTAAAAATACCTATAATGCAAGGTGTGGCAAACATCACCCTATCTGACAACGAACAAGTCAATAGTCTTTTAAAATGATTCAGTTTTAAAGGCTTGCATCAGTTAAATACTGCTTAGAGCATTGCTTACATATCATGGTAGCATAAAGCCTACAGACTATTTTTTTTTTTTAATGTTTCTGCAAATATCGTTTATTTGTAAGAAATGCAAATCTGAATGGAATTAGTACTCTTTTCTAGCCAGATGCCCTATTAAACATAGTCCTGTTAAACATACAGACTGAATCAATACAAACAGTATTGCCACACAGATGGAACATAAACGAAGATCTGTATGGACAGCATGGAAGCCTGAAGAACCAGAATCTGTCATCCTTACAACAAATAGGATGTGAGTTTAATGCAGTGATGGCCCCTTGATTGAAAAACCTTGCAACTAATTGCTTCCTACCATGAGTTTCACAATCTGGACAACAATGAATTCTCACTTGCAGCAGCTGGGTTATCTACAGGGTAAAGCCTTCTCAGCAGCGGCAGCAAATTCCGCATCAAATACACAGATACAAATCTTTCCATGCTCCACTGTCAGACTGTGCAGAAAAATCTTTGACAAATATTAGATATGACAGAAACTGCTTTAGAGAATCATATGAATGCATAATACTCTAGTTATTCACAGTACTACCCTTTCTCTTCAAATTTCCTCAATGTTATTTTTAAAATGCTGATGCTTTTATTGGTATAAATTGGGCAATTTCTTCCACTATTCATCTAGGATTTATCAGTGAGAAGAGCATCCTATGCTGTGCAAGGCTACTGTGATTTCTGTGCAAGGCTACTGTGATTTAGAGCCCAGATTATCTTGCAATATTTAAATAGCCTTGGCATTAACAGCAATTTGTCAGTACAACTTCCAAGGTTACTCAAGAAATAGATACAAGTACTTGTTCTTAGGCAAGCTGAGAAAAGAAACTCATCTAATTACTCCAGGAAAATCTGGGTCAGCCTAAAGCTATGAGGTACTAGCAACTGTTGGGGTCCAACAGCCCTAGAATCCCATACTCTTTTCCCTTCCTCTGAAAGTAGTACTCTCAAATGAACTCTATTACAAGCACCACCCCTTGTTAAACTGTTAAGTTATTGCAATGTACTATTTAAGTAAGGACACTTACTACTGATTTTTTTTCTTTCAGTATTTGCATTCAAGTGTTCTACCGCAGCAAAACATTTGTTGTCAGTGAGCATGCCATTATTACAGCCATTATTCCTCCTCCCAAGGCACCATGTTGAATTGGCTACTGCATCGAAAACAAGCACGCAGGTACAAAGATAATCAAAACAACCATTAAATTGGGACAGTCTACTTTCCCTGAACAGAAGAGGTTTCCAGACACAGTTGCAACATTTTGTAGCAGGTGATACCCAACAGAGATTCTGCTTTTTATTTCCAAAGGACAAGGAAGTGGTGTTGTCCCCTCCAAACTGGATGTTCAAATGAGAACAGCAGCTGTAGAAAGATGACCTACAAGGAATGACCTTTGAAGTTCAGAACAAACTATATAAACTCTTATTTCACTGTATTACTTAACGCAAAATGCTAACAGTCCTTAAAGCAACACACATTCATTGATATACCTACTACATGATAGAGACCAGCACAGAACTGCGCAGACAGAAAGATCAAACTTTGCCTGTTTAAACTTCAAATGTAAATAGGAACACTTCTATGAGATTTAGTACTGCCTGTTGCATCATCAGTCCATTGTGCTTAAATACGCAGATTTCAAGCAGCATTTGACTATTTAAAGACATAAAGTCTTTAACCAGCCATTACAAAAACAGCTTTTTTACTCCATGGGAATTTTTGGGGATTTGAGTAGAAGTTGTCAGATACAGCTACTCACAGCTCCATGAAACACACTGTCATGGAGTACTGAAACATGTTACCCCCCAAAATAATAAAAATAGTTATGAGGCTTACAGACAGTAGGTGCCAAATAATGCTAGTTAGGCTTCTCCAAGAAGGCATCTCTAAATCTTTATTCATCACTTGCACATCCAGCCCTGAAACAAAGCCAAACTTTGTGACGCATTTGTTCTATAGGTCTGCAGATCCTGTTTTTCACCTAGCAAAAGGTAATATTCTTCCCGTCAGGGAATGCTGCAGCAGTATTAAAACATGTACTCACCAACACACCACATTCAAATTTGCCATGAAGATCAGCATATCCAGCAACTTCTACAAGAAGCCAGTCCTTAGTTATCTACTTACCATAAAAAGTAACTGTGTATTTGTGAACATGACTACTAAGCTCATTACAGGAGGAACAGTTGGCATTCTGATCCCTCTTAATATTTTTTTCTTTAAGCACCCTTGAATTTGCTCCTTGGGTTGTATTCTTTGAAGAGCTGCTTTTGAATCCTATAACTTGGAAAGGTAACTATATAACAAGGAAAGAAACAGCTGAAAGAAAAATTAGCAGGTGTTTTTGTTTTTTTTTTTTTTTTTAATTGAAACCACACATTTATTTCTTAAACTATTACAAATGTTATTTTAGGCAAAAATGACAGAAAGTTTTCTACCCACACTAAAGTAGTCAATGTATGATTAGTATCTTAATCAAGAAAGTTTGGTTTCAGTATCAAGACAATACCCAGCTGGTCATGGACCATGTTTGTCTGGTGCTGTAGACTAATGTAATTAGCCTACTGCAATTAATGCAGCTATACCAATTTATACCAGCTCTCACAAATATTTGTGAATCAAAGTATACCAGTCTTCCAAAAAAAACAGCTTATGATAAGCCTCAGTATTTCCCAGGTTCAACTCTTAAAAATCAATGAGTAATAAAGCCTCCTTCAGGGAATTAGTAATTACAGGTTATGACTGTCACAAGCAACCGCATCATAAAATTTCTTTCATAAACTGAACACACAGTTCTTTTCCTCCTCTCCTAATTCATTGGCAGCTGGTTCCAAAAACCTTGGTGCTCTGAAGGGTAAGGCCTCCTCCCAGCACTGGAGAGATTTCAGGAATGCAATGCATTCAGTACATGCAACTTCTCTTCAAGTCCAAGTTAATTTAAAGAAAGAAAAAATAAAAAAACAGTTCCAGGTGAAAGTCTTTTTTTAATACAAATATATCTAAAAAGGCCATTTCAGTGCCTTATTTCATTTACTTTAAAGTCTGCCTGCTTACTAGAAGCATGTTCCTTCATTACATCAAGGATTATTCTCCAGACACCTTTTCTTTTCCCAAGCATTATTAAGCATCCTTCCCAAAATAATTTTTGTTAGTTTAACTGTACGGATCGACTCTTTTTGTCTCAAAAATTTTTTGCTTCCCCAGATTCTGTGTTAGCCTTAAAATACTCCTGGTATAAGCCGGTAAGGCACTGCAGCAGTGTAGAGCTTCCAGTCCTTCCCATATTTGCTGAAACAACGGTGTTCATCCCTAATGCAACGGTGAGTCAACAGAATAGTCATATAAATGATGTAGAAATACGGCAAGATGTGTTCAAACCCACAAGCCAGACAGTAGGCCAGGGAGCCCATCAAATCTCCCGTGTAGTTAAAATGGCGTGCCCAGCCCCAAAATCCTGAGATCATCAGCTTGCTGTAGTACTTGGTCCCATCCACAGACATGTAGGAGCACTCAATGTATTCTGGCTTCTTCCCCCATATCCTGCAGTTGCCATTTGTACGACGGAAGAGATCTTTCTGGTGGTTCGTCATTCTGAAGATATAATAGCCAATCAAGCCCAACATCAAGACCCCTATGGCACTGGCTGTGCTGAGCTGCACAGGGTGGTAAACCAAATATAAACCCTGGGGAGCAGAAAAGAGACAATCAGTACTGCACTTTAAAAACATTTTTAGGATGCCAGACTAATTCTTTGACCTCCAGTGACCGAGAATGGAGGGGGAAAAAAGTTCCAGTAAAACTATGGAATGTTTTCAAAAAAATATTTTCTGCTTCCTACATTGTCTCTGTCTCTCTTTCCAAAATTGCATTTCATAGGACAAACAAGAATAAGGGAGAAGTCGTGAAGATGCAGACTAAATGAGATAGGCGAAAATAAAACGACACACATAAAAACACCCAACATCCAGGAGTACAGAAAGGGCCTGAAAGGATTTAGAAAAAAAAAAAAAAACATAGACACAACAGACACTGTCAGAAAGGGGTACAAAAGATGGAAAGGAAAAGACGACGTCAATTCCATGCAGGGACAGTAAGCTCTACTACAAGCGTACTGTTATAAAAATATTACAATGGTTAGTTAGCATTAAAACCATCAAGAAAGAAATCAAAATACAAATCATTCTGCTGGGAAGAGTAGTTTTGGAAAGTTTCCTTCCTTTTAGCCCAAACATCCATTGTATCACATTTTTACCTGCAGAGTGTAGAGGTAAGGCAACCAAACACAGTCTCCCCAGCCCAAGTACCATCCAAAATGATCATGGCAGATATCAATTGTTTTCAAATACCAAGCTTCATTCCAGAAGAAGTCCAAAACATAAATACCCTGAAACAGAATGATTCTACTTTAATAACACAGCACTGTCACCTGTCATCCTGTCTACCAGTATCAACCTAATATTTTGTTGTCTTAGAACAAAGTCTCAAAGCTGATGTGTTTTCATTTTAACGCTTCAAAAAACAGAGGCATGAAGAGGAACATAACATATCAGCAGAGATCTATAATACATCTGTATAGCTAAAGCAGTAAGTAATACAAAGCAGTATTAACATAAATTAGCACATGGAGACTAGCTGCATTACTTAAGGACATACACTTAGGAAATGCACTTGCATTTTATTGCTCCTATTGCTCCTGCCTCTCAGAGAGTAGGAATAGAGCTTCTGTTAAGCAGCCTTCCATTTATACATATGAATGGATTCGAACTATTAGTTGTATTTATTACTTTGAGGTCTCCTCAGAAGAAAACATAGCACTGTGTGCCTATTTTCAGGTGTTGGAGACATCTGCATTTCTGCATGGCCTAAGGAAAATAAATAAATAAATAACGTAAAGCTCTGCGCTCAAAAAAAACCTGCCCCAACCGTGCTCCAACTAAAGGCACAGAACTCTGTCGTTGTTCTCCCTGGTCTAGTAAGATCAAGCCAGAACACAGGCTCAGAAAAATCTCTCTTAATTTAAGCCTATATCGAAATCTGCTGGCACAGACATAACTATGCCAATGGTAGCACACTGGATTATTCACAGTGACATGCTGAATGAATGAGTGTCCAAAGAAGCAAGTTCCAATGCATCAGTACCAAATGACGTTGTTCAGGCCAGGAAGAATAATTTAAGTTTGCTTTCAATGCAAGAACTTTTTCCTACTTTAACACTATTTTATTTCCAAATTGTTATCTTGTTTTCCTCCTCCAAATTTACCTGAAGGACATTGACAAGAATCATGGAGTTGGTTACTTGACCATACAGCTCCTGTTGTTTAGCAGCATAGGAAAGGTTAATCAGAGTCCAGGCTACAATGCCAGGGCGCCCATTGAAGAACAGCTTGAAATCAAACCACTTTCCTATTCGAGGGTTAAATTCAATCCCCATCATGTAGTCGTAAAAGAAGTTGCCAGTGAATTTGCTAGAAAGCATAAGAGATTTAAAATTTATATTGTTATAACAAATACACACGGTTAGTATTCTGACTATACATTTCAGATCATTTCCTAAGGGGCCTGATATAACAACAATAAAAATCATAAGACCATGTAATGCAATATAAGGTAACAATTGATCAAACTAAAGTATTACAGTACAAGAGATAAATTGTAGCTTCAGAAGCATTGTGTTTAAACTTGCTATCACTTTTCAGGAGTCCAACTATAACTTTATTTGCAAGACATAATTTAGACACATGCATCTGTGACACCAAGGATGCCACAGTCACACAACATGCAGCATGAAACATAACGGGTGGTGCATGTCTTAAAGAACCAGTTCTACATTACTGTATGTCTGATTTCCTTGTATGCTCTTATTAAGACAACATACCAGTCTTTGGCATTAGTAGGGAAAAAGTAGCCTTTTATCATTGCGAATGTGGAAACTACATATCCCAGGATATTGGCACACCACAGGAGAGGAATCCAATTGTCAAAAATGATGGTAGGAGAGAACCAGTGGAAGTAATAGGCATTGGCAAACCAAAGTACATGGGTTATGATCCAAGCCTGGAGTCCATTAATTTCATACTTATTTACTACACCTAAAGCAGGAAAGAAAGAAATCAACATTACTGATGTTACATTAGTACAGTTATTAATAAGGATATGTACACAATAGCCAGGAGGTCAATAGCTCATGAAGTGACCTACTCTGCTTACCTTCCTTGAATCTCGCCCTCTGAATTAAGTATCTTGCGGCACTTTTCTGAGTTTCATTAGATTCTGCCGCAACCTGTAGGCTAAGCTTTTTCTTAACTCTCTTCACAAAACGATGGATTTATAATCTCACCTACAATCAGCCAAGCTCTCAAGTTATCCTCTGTCACGCTTAGCCCACATCACGCATTCTGTGCAAGTCTTGCAGGTTAACTTGGCTCAATAGGCGTGACTGCATTGTCAGATTCTAGTGGTAGTCTGCCATTAATTTAAAGCACCAAAATTATCAATCTGTATTTTTCCACTTCTGATACTGTGCTTGCTGTATTTTACTTAAGCATGAACTGATCAGCTAATTACATGATAAATAGCTTTTTAGGAGAAAGAAGTTCTGTAATTTATTCTAAAAGAAGATAAATATTGCTCTGTTTGATTGTTTGAAATAAGCATATCGAAAGTGAAAACATTTATGTCCACGTTTCCTGCAGGTATATACGGATTGCTAAGAACTCCGTACAGAAATGCTATCATTTAAAAAGAGTGTGATTATGTTGTGGTACATCCCAAGGAATAACGTACCAGCAGGAGTGACTGCACCTTCTTGTACACCTCCTACATATCCAGGAAGAAACTTGTGGCAGAAGTCAGGAACAAACATATACAAAATCACCTAGAAGTGACAGAATATATTAACCCAAAAAAATTCATACACATACCAAAGATAACAGTCAGTTTCAATTAAGTATTAGATAAGCAAATATTATTAGATTAGCTGTTGTGATTTTAGACCAGTAATATGCCCAAGCTACAGAACAATTTTAAAGACAGCTTTCATATATGGTGGTAAGCCTTATTTGGTGGGGAGGGAGGACTGTTTCTAGTTAGATTTGGGTCCTTATCCTTTAATTTTAAAACATTATACTTAAGTAACTTTCCAATTTGGAAAACAATAGCAGTAGTTTGCTAAATTTGAAGATATTTTACAAAAAAAAAAAAAATCACTAATAAACATTCTTTTAGAGTTTGTCTACAGAAAAATACATCCCTTCTGCAGTTAGTTTATGTAAATAAAGTATGCAGTTATGTAAGTAAGTATGCAGTTAGTTTAGTTAAGTAAATCAGTATTTTTGTTATATGGCTGGTTTATCTTAACCACATCATCTTAGACTCTTGTAGAGGTCATTTATCTAAAACATCTGAATTTATATTGTATGAAATACTTGTATCACAGAGTTATCTGTGAGAACAAGCAATACTGAGATTTATTTAGTTGCATTACTCTGTCCTGACTCACTGCCACACACAATGATTTAGCATAGTATTATATAAGACTCAACAGAAAGAACAGCACTTGTGAGCCAGCCTTCTTTCACTGTAAGATCAGAATTGGTATCCTGAGTGCTTAAAACCCATATAATCTTAGTAATTCCCAAATTTTTCATCTGACAGACTATTTTGCCATTACGTAAAAAAAAATCAGTATTCCATTTAGTTCCATCCTTCTTTCATCTGATGTAGATACATGCTTGTACGCACACACGCTACAACTAGTTTGTAATTCAATAATATACCTGGAAAGCAACCCAAATAGTATAGATGCCAGCAGCTGTGTAGGTCAGTGTAGGAGTCTTGTTCCAGATGTCAGACAGATGTTTATTCCCCATGAGCAAGTCAATGAGCGGATCAGTCAGAGAGCACTGGTACTGGTCACAGGACATTATGAAATAATACACGATAAGTGGTGCAAACATGAGCAGGAAAAGGATGCTTGCCAAGGAAAACCAGTCTACCTCCCTGTAATCCAAAACAGAACATTTTTTTTTCAGCTTTCAGTTATGACAGCAGTTCTGATTAAGTCAAGCAATTTTAGTCTAAAAAGACCACTGAAAACTAACTGGATGAAAATGGAAAATATTTTTAGAGCACATACGTTTCTTTGGGTCAAACAGTGACAGGAAGTTTAGCATGTTACATACTTTACCACAAAACGTTATAACCCTAAGCTGGTTAATCAGAGCAACAGAACAGATAACATCTCTCCTCCAAAAAGTATGCTATTATTACAGCCTTCACATGTTTGATGGCAATCACGGGTACTACTGGTATTCAGCTGGAGGTGGTAAGAGAATCACAATACTGTGCAAAGCTTGGAAACACAGAGGACATAGACCCTGAACAGCCAGAAGCTGAACATGTTCCAGCACCACTGTCTGTGGTAAGAACCGTATGGACACCTGCTGCTGTTTTCAGCTACAGTATGGTACTCCACTGATACTTGAACCACACTCTGACAACAGGAATATGGGCCATAAACCTTGCTGCTGCTGAAGGCATCAGCTAGTAGTACCATAGATGGATGCCTGTTTTCCAAATTGCAGCAAATATTTTGTTCAGCCTTTGAAGAAACTACAAATTTCACTGAGTATTATGGTTTGTTTTTCATTTTGCAAGAAGGGTTGTATTTTAACCCAAGCCACCTGGCAAGCTCCATATTTAAAAACCTTGAGGAACTCTTCTTTGGCACCTGTTACTACAACTCATTAACCAGGAGCTTTCAATGCTAGGTCAATGCACCCATCTTTTAAAAACAGAATAAAGATTAAAAAGAATGTAACATCTGTAAGAGTATGTAAGAACCAGTTTGAAATACAGTGACTAATTAGAGTCATCAACTTCTCTCACCATGCTCTTCCCCACTGGACTTGAGAAGCTTGAGTATCATTTTGGATGTTTTTGTGGTTTCGTTCTTCAGAGTTTTTCTCCTTGTGGGCTGGCATGGCGTTCTCTGTGAGAGAAAATATTCATAATATTACTCCAGCTTCTACTCACTAGGTCTTTTGGCTCTACTGAAAAGAAATACAAGTTACTAAAAATAATTAAATAGCTTTCAATTACAATAAGTTTGGGAGTGAAGAAGAGGAAAGAAAAAGAGGAAAAAAAAAAAAAAAACACAGAAAACTTTCTTAAATCCTTCTGTCCTGTCCTGGCCTCATCCCCAAGGCCCTGCCTGGCCACCCCAGGTCTGTGTGACGCTGGTTCCCTTCACCAGGCCGGACCCTGACCTTCATCCCTTGGCTGATAGCCTGGCCCGGCCTTGGCCCAGCTGCATCACTACAGCCTTGCCTGGCAATCACTGAACATGGCCCTGACCTACTGACTGACTTCCCTCAGTTATCACAAGCGCTAACCGCCACCTAACGCTTCAGCAGAGACATTTAAAATACTGTCAGAGGTAGAGGTTTGGCTGAGATGCAAGCCAGAAGTTGCCTCATTCCAGGTGTTAAGTGCTTCCATGACAAGGCTTGTCATGCCAGTAACACACCCATCGAGAGACAATGCTACCGAACGTGTTCAAGAGAAAGCAGAGGAGAGCTACTGTGTTGATGTTAAGAGTGTTTGGTCCAGTTAGCGGTGTCCGTTTTGCTTTATGACAGTAATTTTGCCAGGACAGAAAGGCTCTTAACCAGGAAGCATCAGTCAGCAGGGCTTTGGCTGGATGAAGCCTATGAAGTTATTCAACTCAGCCCCATGCTGAGAGCTGGGCCAGCTCAGAGCAGGCTGCCAGGGCATTGCCCAGTTAAGTTTTGTGTATTTCCAAGGATTCCCCGTGATCCATCAGCCCTGCTGAGGAAGCAGGCCTCACCTCTGAGCCAGGAAACAAACCCTATGCTGAGGCTTTTCGTGGCATTGCCATTTGCTCGGGGCTCCCAAGCACCCAGCAGCCCGGTTACCCTGCAGGGCTGGGTTTTGAGCACCGCTCTGCCTGCCGAGCCCCTGCCTGCAGCCGGGGGCTGGTGCAAGCCCCCCGGAGCCACCATTAACCCCCCAGGCAGCGCAGGAGCACGGTGACTGCCCCGCTCCCGGAGCCGCCAGCAGCTAGAGGAGGACGAGCAGCCCCCAGCCAGGCTGGGGGGGCACGCACCCCTTCCCCCCGCTTACAGCGCGGCTGCCATCGCGGTTCTCCTTCCTACACCGCCGCCTGAGCCCAGCCCAGCCCGAGGCTCCTGCCCCCTTCCCGCTCCCCTGTCCCCGCGGGCACCCACCTGCAGGCGGCCGCCGGAGCCCCCTGTCCCCGCCTGGCCTCGCCTCACCGAGCCCCCCCAAGCCGCTTCGGGTCCCCCCCGCCCAGCTCGGTCCCGCCCCCTCCCCGCCCCGCCGGCCAATCGGCGCCGCGCTCCCGCCCGCCCCGCGCCACGCCATTGGCGCAGCGCGCTCAACCCATGGGCCGAGCGGCGGCCCCGGCGGGGTCCCGCTGCCGGCACCACCCGCTGCGGGCCCGCCTCGGGGCCCCGGCCGCAGGGAGGGCAGCGGGGCAGGGGTGGCCCCCTGAGTTCGTGGCTGCTCCAGTCAGCGCCTCCGTTAGAGAGGCACACTGTGAGCAGCGGTGGCCCCAAAGGCCAGATTTGGCCAGCATGTAGGAAGGATCACTACAAAGAACAAGGATTTTGAACGACCTGATGCCCCAGGAGACACTTTAGTACAGGATAACGTTAGGAAGCATCCCATAGATAAGGCCAAACGCAGGACAGGATGAGCCCTAAGGAGCCCTGCGATTTGGGGCACTGCGCCCTGAAGCTGCTTTGGTGCTCTGGAGCTCCCAGACCTCCGGGTCCTGCCCCACGCTGCCCCATCGCCTTCAGCGCTCCCAGTCTGACCCAGGCTCGGCAGACACCGCTCAGAGGGTGCTAAAATAAAGGCTGAGCCTGCCAAAATGGCCGAGGCGGGGCAAGGAGGCGAAAGGGGAAGGCCCACGGGGGGAGCTGCACTGCTGACCGTGGCAGCAGCTCGCAGGGCAGGGAGCTTCTCGCGTCCCGCCGCAGGCAGCACCCCTCATTAGCTAATTAGCCCTCAGCGCCCCGAGCTTCGGCAGCGGGCACCGCTAATTTGCTCGGCCAGAGCCCCCCCCAGGCGCGGCCCCTCAGTCCCAGCCCCTGAGGCGGGGCCCGGCGCTGCGGCGGCGGCGCCATGGGGCGGGCGGTGCGGCTGGCAGCCTGCGCCCTCAACCAGTGGGCGCTGGATTTTGAGGGCAACGCGGGGAGGATCCTCAAAAGTGAGCCTTGGGGGGTCCCGGGGGGATCCCCTCTAGCCTGGTTTGGGGTCCTGGGGAGGCCGGGCAGGGTTAGGGTTAGGGTCCCGACTGCTGCTTGAGCATGCTCCTTTCTTTTCCAGGTATTGAAATCGCAAAGGGCAAAGGAGCCAGATACAGGCTTGGTCCTGAGCTCGAAATTTGGTAGGAGCGCTGCGGTTACTAGCTGATCGGGGTTAAGAACCGGGAATAATTGCGTACTAAAAATGGTTAAGAAAACATGTAGTAGTCTAATGTTTAAACTGGCGTTAAAAACACGTGGCTGTCAGTGCAAACAGACACATTGCAGATGCAAGCAACGTATTGCAAAACCTGTCGTAAAAACTTACCTTATACCAATATTTGTTGGCTTATTTCAGCGAGCTTTCCTCATGGTGCCTGCAGTACTTTGAGTTCTGCCTATGCGCAGGCTGCTGCTTTAGCAAGGAATATCCCAGCAGCACCCAGGAATTTTAAACAGCCTTCACTGCTGATGCGCACAGCGCTGCATCTTGGTATTCTCTATAAACTGCATATATAGTGAGATGTTTCATGTCTGGAGTAGTTCTGGTCCCACAGTTCTGTTGCTGATAAATTTATGTCTGTATTATACATATATAATTATTTATATAATTTATAATTTCATATCTGCCTGACAATTTATTTATTTTTCTACACAGTGGTTATGGCTGCTCAGATCACTATTATGAGTCTGATACACTCCTGCACTCGTTTCAAGTTCTGGCAAAGCTTTTGGAGTCTCCAGTTACTCAAGATATTATCTGTGATGTGGGAATGTAAGTCTTGTATAAGCAGGATTAAGCGCTACCTCTTTTGAGAATGCGGTCTATGTTGCGTAAACAAATGTCTCTGGATAATGAGGATTTTGCAGCAAACTTGTAAGCACATCTTAGGAGCCATACTACTTTTCATTCTAATTTGCACCAGTAGGATCGTACCATACAAGGTGTTTTTTTCTGATGTAATCCTTTCAAAATGCTTTTTTTTTTTTTTTTTTTTAACTTGGGGGGTCAGAGGAGTGAGATTCCTGGTGGCTGGGCTCTTCAAGAGAGAAGTAAAATATTTTTTTCTCAGGAACCTAAATGGCTGGGCCCTACTATCATGGACAAGGTTTTGAGTAAGACCTTGTATTATATGTAAAAAAAAAAGGGGGCTTTTTAAATTGACTTGTCTTTCAGGAATGTCACGGCTCATGTACCTTGCTTTAACTGGCAGCTGTCTTCACAGACAACATACATATATGTCAATCATTTTGATGTTCAAATAAACATAAAAAATTAACATTGTAAGTTATGTGCTGTGAGTGAGCTATGATATTTTGTAATTGTAAAAGTAACACATGTGCATACCTGTTTCTTGGTATCGAATGCGTAAAGCTGCCTTTTCTTTACTTTGGACCAGCCTGGTAGTATCGTAGTCGGTTAAGATTTGCCCAGCCAATGGCATTAGGGTCTGCTGGTGTTTCTCAGGCATACCAGTAATATCCGGTAATCATTGGTAATATCTGAAACTGACAGAAAATCAAAGAGTTTTGTAAACAACTTTTCTAATATAAACATTAGAAACTACATATGTTGTGTTACTTAATTCCCTTGAGTGATACAATATAGATTTGTCTTAACATAGTTTTTGTGTAGGGAAGGAGATTGTGTAGCTTTTTTCTTTTTTTTTCTTAAATTTCATCTGATAACGTTGGTTAGCCACTGGTAATTTTTCTTCTTATTTTTGCAGGCCTGTTATGCACAAAAATGTTCGCTACAATTGTCGAGTGATCTTCTTAAATAAGTAAGTAGTTCTTTACATGTTTTGTGAGTCAGAACATTAGCGTAACGTTTCAGAGACCTGTTTGGCCTTCTAGTAAGATTCTTTAGTGATATGTAAAGGGATGGTGTTGTCCTCCTCTCTCTTAAATTTTAGAGAGATGACTTAATGTTTTGCATCATCTGTTTTTCCTTTCTGACCTTGTAGAAACTAAATTTCCACTGTTTTTTGAAACACTTTTTGAAGAGCCCAGAAAGAAAACTTTTACGTCTACAGACAGAAACGTTAAAATAAATAAATAAATAAATGTTGTTTGCTGTATGTCACACTAGAAAAAATCAGTGAGTTGATTTTCATCAATGTTCTTATTTAGTCTTATGTGCTTGCACATCAGGTCTTAATTCATCCTTTCTGTTTTGTTTTAATTTATGTTTTAAGAAAAATCCTTCTGATTAGACCGAAAATATCACTGGCAAATGCAGGAAACTATAGAGAACTTAGATGGTTTACACCATGGAGCAAAGCAAGGTAGGTTGGCTACTGTTTAACTGCGTTTAAGAAACACAGCTTGCCATTTGCAGCTGCAGCAGAAGGATTGAAAAATATTGCAGTACATCAGCTACAGGGTGAACATCAAAACAAAAGTCAGTAGAGCTATGTAATTGCAGCGTAGTTAAAAAGCTTATTAAACATAAACAAACTCTGAATTGCTGAGCTTGCAAGAAAAGTGCGGCTGAACGATCCTGACACCAGTGTAGTGCTCTCTTTCCTTTTGTATACTTTCATATGCAGGTCAGGACTGGAGGAGCGTATGTTTATCTGCTTGATTGCATCCTGTTCAATATTAAACAGGAGAATGGTGTAGAACGAATGAGCTCAGCTAGAATTTCATGACTGCAAGGGAAGGACGCTACCTTACGTACCTTATGAAGCAGGGAAATATGCTTGATACACGTCTCTGGTGCTGTTCGCTCATCCTGCAGTCAAAGAATGGTTATAACTTGATGGTCTTAGTAAAATACTTCTGAGAGTTCCTGCATATCTGTCCTCTTAATCCCAGTCAATTCTGGATGAGCTTCAAGTTATTTCTGGAGTAGCACTGCAAAAGGGAATTTTTTATTTCAAATTTGACTTACCTGGTGTGTTCTTTATCAGTCTAGTTTATAACTAGAAGGGAGCAAGCATGAAAGCTGCGTACTCCTAACATTCACCGCATATTGCCATGTTAAGTAGAGGTTATTTCCACTGCTGTGTGACCTCTTAACTCTTGGAGGGTGACATAATTACTCATGTTAATTCACTTTAAGCATTCTTCATGCCTATTTCTCTGCAGAATCAGGATGTCTCCCTTAAAGTTTTTTTTTTTTTTTCTACTGAAGAAGTCCACGTCAGGCTTTAGCCTGAAGACATGCTGTTTTAATACTCGATTATTCACTGGAAAATACAGAAGCAAGACGTACGAAGCCAGGAATAGACAGCCCTGTACAGTTATGAAATCTTAAGCTTTATAAAATTCTGTTTTCATGTTCACCATGAATTTCTGAAGCAAAACAGGTTGTTGTTAATTTTAATCTTAACATTTCCATTTTTTTTATTTTTTTTTTTACATACCCAGTACTGTACAATTTCAGTGCAATTTCTTTACTCACGGTTAGGAGATGACACAATGTGGATGTTAGAATCAGTTATTATGCTATGCTTTACGTGACCATGTATTCACAGTTTATAAACCTGCTTTAGGCACGTGGAGGAGTATTTTCTACCAAGGATAATTCAGGAAGTGACAGGGCAGGTAAGTTCTTAATGGAGTCTTTTCTTTTTAACTTTGCTATCTTCATAACTCAGCCATCTAAATGCAGGGAATTTGTGGCATGAAACAGTAGAGCACCAAATTATTCTGTCAGTCATGTTGCAAATTCAGGTGTTTCAATAATAGTTCTCAGATTAAATGAGAACATAATTTAACCTAATTGGTGTAAGTATTTAACAGCAAAACATGGAAGGCTTAAATTTGCCTCAGTTGTTTATATGTACAGTGAGTATTCAGTTCTGTTTTTTTAAGGTTTGTTGGTAACTTTCTGATTTTGATGAGATAGATTCTTCCATTCCGTTTAAGTACGGATGTTGTTTTGTTTTCTTTTCTTTTCTCTCAGGACACTGTTCCTTTTGGGGATGCAGTGCTAGCAACCAAAGATACCTGTCTAGGGACAGAAATATGTGAAGAGCTCTGGGCACCAAACAGGTAAAGCAGAAGAAGAAATGGAAAGTAAACTAAAGGAATAAGAGGAATAAGAAATACATCATGGGAAAGGTTTCAGTAAAAGGGGCTCAAATTTTTTGATGCTTGTCTTCGTATAAAACCTTTTCACTGTTATCTGCTATGTGCCTTGTGCATTGGAGTTCTGGAATTTCTGCTGGTAGAATGTGTCAACTTTGTCCAGAAACTGAGGACTGTATTTACAACAAAAACATTTCAATAAGGTTTTCTGTATCTTTCAAGAAGTTGGATAGGTACCACAACAGGTTTGTACATGGGTCAGTTACACTCATGAAAATGACAGGGCAAGTCATTATCTTATTGGAATTGCATGGACACAAATGAAGAGCTCCCATTTCTTATGTCAGATTCAGAGAATCCAGCTAATTTTCACAATGAAGGCTGTGTTCCCAATGATAACCCTTGCAAGGCTACAGTTCTATTTATTACAGTGGATTGAATAGCTGTAGAGGGAAGTGAGTAATTAGTGACCAGTAATAGACCAATGAGCCTGTGTTTCTATAAAACATTGATCAGCTGGAGAAATGGAATGTTTTGAGGATGAAATGGGAGATCTGCTCATTCTGTTGGGATATAGTAAGCATTAAAAACCTCAACATGGCTGAGATACAGAATATCATTTGAAATACTGAGCCATGTTTTAAGGTGTTCCTTTCTTTTAGTGCTCTATATGAAGATTAACCTGCTTTGAAAAAGCAGTATTGCTGACTCTGGGTCTTGGGAAACACTGGGAGTAGTAGGCACAATGAAGAAGAACTTATTTATTTCAGTCTACTGCTCCTCTAAGTGTAAATATCAAATTATGTTCTTTCCCAAGTGGAAGATAGGTGGAATAAGCCATCCTTTCATGATTTTATTTGGCATGTAGGCCGAATTTCTGGAGTATTGGTTTTGTCAGTAATTATAATCCCATATTATATCATTTACTATTCACAGTCTCAAAAAATTGGGAGTACTAGAGTTTTTTTTCATTTTCCTAGACAAGTAGAGCCTTGTTATAATGGACAAGCTAGAGCTTAGGTTCTTGGATTGCTTAGGCTTCCATCACTTTGAGATGCATCTATTTACCTATTAGCTTAATCCTTCTCTATTTTTTAAACCATCATCATACAAGGCAGAAGGAAACAACTAAAGGTCATTAACAGAAAGCAAAGTCTAGTGCCCTTAAGTAATAGTTCCTGGTTTTACTTTAGTTCCTGCTACAATTTTAGGTTCTTCCCAAAGACAAAGAAGAACGTATTCACAAAGGTTAGACATGGGAATGGAGAGGGAAAAAAAAGAAGTGGTTGCATGAAAGCTGTTGTAGTTAACGTAGAATAAATAAAATGTTCCAGATGTCTTTACAAATCCTTCAACTCAAGTAATTCATTTCCTTATAACTGCAGGTGTGGTATGTAATATACATAGATACTATGTTTTTTTTTCTCTTTTTATTTTTTTTTAGCATTTGAAAAAGAGAAAATCAGTAAAAGTCAGGTCATTTCATAGGGTCTTGGTGCTGCCCTTTCAGACCAAGACTGTCTTGTTTTCTTTCTTTGTGACCCAGACTTCTATGGAATAAAGTAGAAGGCATTTTATTTAGAATACAATTAGCAAAACCCTGCCTGCCCTCTGCAACCAGTACTGGTCTTTGACAAGAATCAAGCGATGCAGGAAAACAGATGTTTTTGTGAGCTCTAGCTTTGTTTGAGCTAAGACCTTGAGAAAACTGGCAATGACATAAATGTTTTTGGTAGTGGTGGTTTTAAATGATACCTGCAATATTCCCAGCTACATGTGATTGCCAGCTCAGTTTTTTTTCTGCCTTCTGATTTGACAGCCCTCATATTGAAATGGGACTTGATGGTGTGGAAATTTTCACTAATTCTTCAGGGAGTCACCATGTGCTGCGGAAGGCGCATACCCGGGTGGATTTGGTGAATTCTGCTACAGCAAAGGTATACTTAAGGCATGAGCTTAGTGGCCTTGACAGACCTTGTTACTTGGGTGTTTTGAAGTTTTGTTTGTTTGTGTGTTTGTTTTTGGCCTGTGATTACCTTTCCTCCAGCTGCTGGGGTTCTGTACTTCTTTGGGGAGCCCTGCTGTAGGTAATGCTTTAATGTCGGAGGCTATTTGGTTACAGATCAGTTCTGTCTGATCTGTGGAGCAGGAAAACAGAAGAAATGCTATTTAGTATTTGCTTGGGAGTATGGGAGAAACAAATGTATGCATGTGCACATGTGAGGAGCACGCTAAGAAGGAACTTGGCACAGGAACTCATAGTTCTGCATTGGCATACCAACTATATAATCTTATTTTCCACACACCTCTATAAAGGAGAGTCAGAATACCTTAAAGCAGTTTATTTTCTTGCAGCTCTGGAGGCTTGTTGCAAAAATGCAATTGATCTTTATCTTAATTCCATTAAATTGTGAAGATAAAATATTGTACTAATATAGGAGACAGAAAATAGT